ACTTTATCTTTCCCTCTTCCACTAACTTCTTTAGTTCTCCCATCTAGTCATTCAAAATAAACCCAAACAACAAAATCCTTCATAAAGTACTAAGACATATCAAAGGACAACAAAGAAAGATTCAAATCTTATATGCTATTCATTGTGAGTTCAATAGGAATTGTTGTATCAACATGATGCTGATAATAAAGATCAATGTATTCCACATCAAGGCGCTAAAGGCTACCTTCACAATAGGATCGAACATATTCTGGGGTGCCTTTTACAATGGCATTTCTAGTTTTAATTTTGACAACCTCAACTTTTATGGCAATCTATACTTTTTCTCTAGGCAGTTCCTTCAACACATAAGATCAGTTTCATTAAAATAAAGTAATTATAATTTCATGACACAACAAGACATCAAAATCAACTAAGAAGTATTTTATTTATGCCATTATGTTATGAATGTAATTTGTTCCAAGTGCCACAGTTTCCTTCCCAAGTTCAAATTTGCTTATAGAGGAACTTTAGTAAGATATGAATAGTTTAATGTAAATGAAATGGTGGTGAATAGCCTTGTTTAACATTCATTCCTCATCGTGAAGATAGGTAACGTAGCAGGACAAAATATAAAGATAAGATAGAGCTTTATTACCTTTTCCACTAAACCTTCATTAGTATTGGGTCCGTAAATATCTAATGTATCAAAGAATATGATCCCTTGCCGGAAAGCATCCTTGATGATTGCTACTCTAACCTCTTCAAGGACAGGAGTGTTATATAGTCCACTAAGCCCCATACAGCCAAATCTTAGCTTGGAAACCTGAAACGAGAAGGGTCATGCTCATTCATTGTATATACACAAAGTCAAAATATTCACACAAGAACAAGATTGAACTATGGGAATGAAGGGATGGAAATACAAGAATTGAAGTGTAAGACCATGGATTAGGGTTTACACCTCAACTCCTAAAGGCCTTTGCCTTCAAGTTTGACTCGAGGAATTTCTATGCTATTTACTATGGGTGATTGCATATCTTAATTTGTGCCTATATAAAATGTAGTAATTCCTTGCAAGGTAATAGAGAAATGCAACAAGGTGATTTAGAGCTTTCTTCTTTAACTAGCAAGCAGTTTTCACTTCATAATTCATTCTATGTATTGCATCTAGATAGGCTTGGAGGGAATAACCAAGAAAGAGTCTTTGATGTAGGAGATCCAATCCAGTGTCCATGGTTACCCACACAATAATAAGTTCTGGCTTTTTCCTTAGCTAGTTTATATAATTCTAAACTTTATTTCTAGCGAAATAATTTAGGCATTATGTTTCAACTTTCAAGATTTATAAGTAGGTTAAACCAATCGACGTCTCAATGCTTGTAAAGATATGAGCAGTTGATAAAAGTCTCAATTAGTCTAGAAAAGTAACTTTTAAAAAAATTTTCTATCAATCAATTTAACACATTTTCAAGTGAAGCAATTGATTGTAGATTTAATTCCTAGCTCTTATTTATAGAGTAACTCTAGTTAGACATGATCTATTATTTACACTTTATACTTTGAAAAAGATTAGTTCATGCTATCAACGAAAAATATTCTTGATCATAAAAAATGATAATCATTGTTTTCCCATAAAATCTAGTTTTTTAGTGAAGATTTGACTTGTAATTTTTTTTGGTTGGTTTTGCAAATGAAATAAATTGAATTCATTGCCAATGCATTCATTCTTTAGTCAAAATAATTGACGTCAATTGATTTCTTCAACGATGTGTAATATAAATAGTAAATACTACATGTTAAAAGGTGCACGGGTTGAAATTTGTGTTATAAAGGCAATTGTCAAATGCAAAGACAAATTTTATGGTATTGCTTCACCTTTCTTTTCTTTTTTAATAGACTACTAGTACTTGTACGTATTACAAAAACAAAATAAGACTCCCCAAAAAGTTTTCTTTTGATTTATTTAAAAATTTCTTCATCCACAGAACAACAAATAAAAATGAAACAGAAGAGTCAAGTGATGTCATGTTATGAAATTTTTGGTAGGCCAAAAAATGTTTTTCAAAAAGTAAATGGCAAATGCACTTATCCCCCTTTTTTTTCTAGATACATTCTATATTTTTTTTTCTAGAAAACATTTTTTCATACAACAAACATGCACATAATTATTAAGGGAAGACACAGAAAAGGTAAGGAAATTAAGGCAAGTCCTGTGCACAATAACTAAGTGGTACATGTAGCTAATTTTGTGTCAAGGGTGGGGTATTAGCAAACTTCCATAAACAGCGAACAAAAGCATCGGTTGTTCTATCCTTTGATACCTCACTATTCGAAATCGCATCTGAAATCTCTTTCAAATCATTATGGCTCAACTTTACTTTTAACGAACTAATATTAATGTTTAGATTTTTGGTTTTGGTCGTTCCTATAATACATAAATATTCATTAAGAATGCTATTTCCTGGCACAAAACCATTTGTTCAAAACTTAAAAGCATATCATGCAGGAACAACATCTTGCACAAATACTAGTTTCCTGGCAAGTTTTAAGTTTTATTTTGCCATAAGAAAAGAGACTTAGACTAGGAAATGAAATACCCATATTCAGGACCATTTTATAAATGATATTCATAAATAAGCCATCAAAATATAGTAAGCCATGTAGGTGTCAGAATGGAAAATAATCACTAACTGGGGATTGGCACAACATTATCTCCTTGACGAAGAATCTATGCAAGAGCAACTTGTGATGGTGTTTATCCATGCTTTTGTGCCAACTTCTCTATTTGTGCCAATTCCTTTTAACTTGGGCTACATTGACTAACTCAAGAAAACACAGGCCATTAAAAAGGGCATGTCATGTCACAAAAAATTGAGAAAACAAAAATTCACAACAATTTTAGATAAATGAGCCTTTTTTTGTGCTTGGTTTGATGAAATCAGAAGAGAAAATGAAGCTTAAGACCATAATATTAAGTCTATACCAAAAAACTTTGTGCAAGTACACTTTCTATCACTGCCTTGCCATTAAAAAATCCACGACCAAGGGGACTATATGGTGCAATTCCAATTCCAGGTTCCTTGAAGGTGTTATCACCTTATAAGAAAGATTCATGAGTGATGTAGATAAATAGTGAATCATAAAAATAGTTAACCTTATTTCAAAATTACAAGTGATATAGAAGTAGCTAAGCAAATAATTTGTTGGTATTCGAGGGAACCACCATCATTCTTGGATAATAAATGGAAGAGTAAGATAATATTTTTAGCTGATAAGAAACTTTATATATATCATGTCTCTCTATTTCTCACAGAAGAGATAATTATCCCATTTTTTATAGTGAAATTACTCGCTTGCTATCTGTGTGTTTTTTGTCCCTCGCATTGGGAATTTTCACAAGTTAAATTTTCTGTGTCATCTTTTCTCACTTTTTCTAACTTTTTTATAATTTTCAGTTGCTTTATCTTGTTTACTTTTACCGATTATTTTGGCATTTCCTAACATTAACTATATTAATAAAATTTATTCTTATATTTATTTATTTAATAAATTTTATTTATATTGTATTTCTTGCTTTATTTTTAAAAAAGTAACTAACTTGGCATAGCTGGACTAAAAAAAGAAAAGAACAATAACTTAATGTTATGCCTAACTTATTTGTTGTTATTACTCTTATAATTTAGAGATTACTTGTAATTATTATCATAAAATGTTATATATTTATAGTTATAACTGATGTAATTTAATAATTAATTTTAAATTATTGTAATTTATATATTCGTATTGATTTGATTTTAAACTTAATAAATTATGTGATTTAAAAATTTAATAAATATTATTATCTAAATACTTTTTTTACATTGTCCGATTTATTAGGATGATCTGATGTCTTAATCTTGTCTTGATTCCATTCCAATATTTCTAATGTGATTAAATGATTTTTGAGATGGTATGGAATATAAGATAAAAATTCAATTTTAATTTTTTTTTTTTTTTTGAAATGGAATACAAGATGGGAGCGTTCCGATCGTGTCTTGCCGTGTGAACACCCCTAACCACAACAATGATTAATGAGTCACCGGTCTTGAGATGAATCACATGAGAATCGTCCAAGTCTAAGACCAGTTTAACAGCTGAGACTTGGGACCTCAGATATTCACGGGGTCACATATGGCCTTGCTTCCTCTTGCAGCCTGTACGGACGTGCCGACGGGGGTCCTGTAGACACGGCGCGGCCCCACTTAAATTTAACTCCATTTTCATTTATTTTCCTCTAACAAGTCTCACCCCTTGAAGCTTCGTTTCAAACAGCGTTGATTAGACCAGGATGAGCATCCATGTGCACTGGTCCCCGCTCGACTTGCTTAATTGACCCCTTTTTTTTCCTTCTAAATTTTTTTAATATTTTCTTAAAAGAATATAACATTAGAGTGGGGGATTAAATGTTAAAAAATATAAAATATGTTTAACATTTTAAAGTATAATTATTATATATTTTTTAAATGTTTTAATGAATGAATTATTTTATATTTATTTTAAGATAAAATATTTTATTAAATAGAGATAAATATAAAAAATAATATTAATTTGAAAATAAATAACTACTTATTAAAAGTATGATATAATATAATAGATAAGAGCAAACATATTTTTAAATTCTTATATTGCATTCGAATTTTGTTATAAATTTTTATATTTTTTAATATTTTAAATCTTATATTTTTATTTTTTAATATTTTAAATTTTTTTATAAAAAATAAAAATATAAAAATTTAATATGATAAAAAAATGTAGAGATATAAAATTATATTTTTTTCAATACATAATAAAAGACTGGCTGAATGGAGTTTTTCTGGTTGTTTGTTTCTTCACCGCTCTGCTTTCGGCGTTTTCCCATCGTATGGGCACGTAATATCTTGGATTTCCGTATGAAAAGCACTGTCACATTTACTTTTAGAATCACTTCAAATTTATAAAAGAGACAGCCCCACAAAAACTCATCCCATTTACGAACATCATTGAAATTTGGGATTGGAAAAATTCTAATTTTTTCTTTCTTTTGTTTTTTGTTTTTTTTGGGGATAGAACCCCCCGATTTCTCATATCGCATTCAATAGTCTCATTTTCCCCAACTCGACCTTGCAACACTACTACCAACGCAACATGCCTTCCTTCCTCATGGGCATGTCCCCGACCATGTCGTCACTCCCTTCATCTCCGTCGGTGGTCTCTCCGTCGCCGCCCTCTTCGATTGATTTGCCGGTGCGGCCCGTTCCCGGAACTTATGGCTTGCCGTTTCTCGGCCCATTCTCCGACCGTTTAGACTACTCCTGGTTCCAGAAGCCGGAGGCCTTCTTCAGGAAGCGGATCGACAAGTACAGGAGCACCGTGTTCCGTACCAATGTCCCTCCCTCCTTCCCTTTCTTCACCAACGTCAACCCAAACGTCGTCGCTTTGCTCGATTGCAAGTCCTTCGCTCACCTCTTTGACGTCGACCTCATCGACAAGAAGAACGTCCTCGTTGGAGATTTCATGCCCAGCGTCGCCTTCACCGGCAACATCAGGGTCGGCGTTTATCAGGACACTTCCGAGCCTCAACACTCCAAGGTTCGCCTCACCTCCCTCCCTCCCTCCCTCCCTCCTCTGTCCCCATTTTTCGTTGCAAACTACAATCTTTTCAGAGTTCAATCAACTAACTGCTTAGAAAAGGTTAATTTCCATCAACGTACAGAAATTTCCTAGTTTATTAGGCATGATTACTGACGGATCGATCACATTAAGAGTATGTGGTGCTGGTAAGGATCCGGGGAATATAGAGGAGTTGTGTGGAGTTTAGAATTTAGAAAGGGGCAAAATAGGTATTTTAGCTTGGAGTCTGATATCAGTACTCGTTGTCGTTAATCCAATGTAATTAATCGATTTTTAATGGAAGCAAGGAGCACTGGACCTGGGGTTCTAGTAAAGACAGAGCCGTGACAAGGGACCACAATTGAATGGAGAGGAGTCATATGTCAGATCAGGACCAACGTGTTTGGTTAGCGGGGGCCACGAAAACAATGATGCAAAACGGATTTCTCGTGTCAATTATACCCAGCCTAGCCTTGACTTTATTTTTACAACAAAAATGATTTTTGAATTGTAAAAAAAGTCGATATTGTTAATAAATCAACATAACTGAAGTGTGCAAGGAATCTGGCTCGAATAATGGATGGGTCGTCCGCTTTTGTTGGCGCTCGACATTTCCCATGAACAATGACATGCTTGTAACTTCTGGGAAACGGAAAATTTGAGAAATATTTGGGAGACCAAAATTGAAAGGGGAAAAAAGAAATCCGAGTGTCATTTGCTTGGACAGTGAGCTTTTTTTTTTTTTTTAATTGGGTTGTGGAAGATGAGCTATTAACCTCCTAATTTCTTTTCGTAGAGTCGCGCTAAAATAAATTTGATCGCAGACAAATTAAGGTAATTGTTTTAACAAATATCCTTTCCAAACCAAAAATATAAGATGTGGTTTAAAAGTATTGTTTAACCGAAAATATAAAATATTAAATAAGATATTTTGAACAAGTCAAAATCATTTTATTACTTCAAGGGCAATGCTAAAAAGATGTGAAGGTTTTTGGAAAATTCAGTTTTTCTCCCCAATCAGCCAATGATATGGTGCCACATATGATCTGAGATGTATTTGAACAGTTGAAAAAGTTCGCCATTGATATCCTGAGACGGAGCTCCGGCGTATGGGCAGCTGAACTCGTATCCAATCTTGACGTGATGTGGGACAACATTGAATCGACACTCTCCAAATCCAGTTCCGCCGGCTACATCTTCCCGCTGCAGAGATGCCTCTTCGCTTTCCTCTGCAAAGTGCTAGCCGGCGCCGATGTTTCCCGCAACCTCGATATAGCCAGTTCCGGTTACGCAATGCTCGACCGGTGGCTCGCCCTCCAGATACTTCCCACCACCCCTATCGGTGTTCTTCAACCTCTAGAGGAGATTTTCCTTCACTCTTTTGCCTATCCTTTCTTCCTGGTTAGCGGAGACTACAATAAACTTTACCAATTCGTTAAAAAAGAAGGTAAACTTCACATCAAATGTTCAAAACACTGCTTTCAACTTGACTTTTGTCAACTTTAATTCTGAACCAAACGAGAGTATGCGCTGATTGATTGTCCTATGCTGATAATGTGTTTATGGAACACGAGAGACAGGTAAGGAAGTCATAGAAAGGGGTGAAACCGAGTTTGGGCTGAGTCAAGAAGATGCGATTCACAACTTGCTGTTCGTGCTGGGTTTCAACGCGTTTGGCGGGTTTTCTGTTTTCCTACCCAGTTTGATAGACACCATAGCAACCGACGATACCGGATTACAAGAGAAGCTGAGGACAGAAGCGAGGGAAAAGGGCGGGCCTACCCTGAGCCTCGACTCCATCAAAGAGATGCATCTCATTCGATCTGTAGTGTACGAAACTCTCCGGTTAAACCCGCCGGTTCCGCTCCAATACGGCCGGGCCAGGAAGGATTTCCGGCTGTGCTCGCATGAGTCGGCGTTTGAGATCAAGAAGGGGGAGCTGCTCTGTGGGTACCAGAAGCTGGTGATGCGGGACCCGGTCGTGTTTGACGACCCGGAGAGTTTCAAACCGGATCGGTTCACGGAAGAGAAAGGCGGCGTACGGTTGTTAGGCTACTTGTATTGGTCCAACGGGCCTCAATCCGGGTCGCCGAGCGAGTTCAATAAACAGTGTCCTGGTAAGGATGTGGTCACCCTCACAGCGTCCTTGATTTTGGCCCACTTGTTTCGCAGATACGATTCCATCAAGGGAAATACAACTTCCATCACAGCCGTTGAAAAGGCCAAATAACGAAGGGCCAGGATTTGTTTGTTTGTGATGACGTACTGGATACTGATGGGGGAGACTGAGATGAGACGCTGCTTGTTCTCAATATCGCGGTTACTGTGAGTATTTATATATGTATGCATATTGTTCGTAATTTTTGTGTTAGCTATACTTGCAACTTCAAGTTATAAAAAATGAGACGATATTGTAAAAGGCCTTAGATCGAAGACATGCTTTAATGGAAGAGGAAGACTCGTCTGCTCAGCCTCATGCCTGTAAAATACCCACTGAATATGAATTAAAACTTTTGCTTGTTTATTAATTTTTCTTTTTTTTTTTAAGATGGAATGGATTACGTGTTCGATAAGGGATTGAGTGATTAGTATCATGAATATGAACTATGATTTGAGGCTTGGAAGCAAGCTCAACAGAGCCAGCTTCACTTATGAACGAAGACAAAACAACATCGCAATTTTAAAGCAATCCTCATATTTCAGTCGTAGATCTGAAGTGAGTCATTTTCAGCGTGTTGCCGCCTTGAAATGCATTGAGCATCCAGGACAGAGTTTTGGGCATTCAGATTTTGGATACGTAACCTTGAAAGTCGGATGCTTGAGTTGTGTAGTTGCATTTTCAACTCAAGAAGTCATACACCTTACTCATTCCCGTGTATAGAACTCAGTGTGAGGGCCGCATTTCTCCAACATAAGATCCAGTCTGGTTTAGAATGCAGGCGTTTCAGCCGCTCTACTTTCATTCTGTCCTATGTTTTCATTTGTTTGTTGTACGGAGAACAATTTCAGGAAGCTGGATAATGACATAAGATCTCTTTTGATAAATTTTTTTTTAAAGAAAAATTACATATAGGTCAAAGTAAATTTATTTATAAATAAATTTCATGAAATTGAAAAACCACAAGTAGGTCGTTTGGAACTTGAGTGTAATTTAAAATTGAGATATAAAACAATAATATTCCAATTAAACACATATATATACATTATATCAATCAATTAATTTATAACTAATTCATCAGTAATTTACAATTATAATTTTATTTTTACAATTATAATTTTATATATTCAATAATTAAATTAATCAATTTAATTATTGAATATGTGAAGTTACAATTGTACAAAATTAAAATTATAATTGTAAATTATTAATAAAGTAATTGTAAATAATTGATATTAAACTTTGTTAGTAATACATGTGAAGCTACAATTATAAAAAGTTAAAATTATAATTATAAATTACTAATCAAGAAGTTATAAATTAATTATTTGACTAATGAAATATATGTTTAACAGGAGTATTATTATCTTTGCAGCTTAATTTTAAATTACACTCAGATCTTAAGAAATCTAGTTGTGATTTCTGAATTTCACATGACTTATTGATAAATAAGTTTGTTTCATCAGACCTGTATGTAATTTTTCTTTTTTTTTTTAAAGAACTATTTTAAAACACTGAATAAAAGTCAAGTAAAAATATAACATAAACTGGAATAGAAGATTTGGCAACAACAAAAATAAGAACGTGTTCTATCCTATTAAATAAGGCCAATTAAATTGATCCTACAATAATTATTGAATATATAGAATTCTCTACTATATATTTAAAACAAATATTTAGATATTTATATGGAGCTTTCTAAAATCTATATTAAAATATTCATGTGGATTTCTCAATAATATCTTTGCACACTCTAGCTTTTTTAAGGGATTTTCAGAGGATTCTAGAACTTTCTAGATCAACTTAAACCCCTGAAAAATTATGATTTGTGACATTTTGCCTCCATTTATATAAACTGCTTTAATCGATAATGTCATGACAAAATTTTCTCATATATAATCATACAAATTGTCTTCATTTATATGCCACACGTCTATTAGAACATTTCCATATCTGCTATTTTTATATTTTTTTTCTTCTTATTGTCCATTTAACCCTTAATATTTTTTCTTTATAACTAATGTTCTCTTGTTAGAAGTAATCTTGTTTTGAAGTGTAATTGATTTCTTTTTCTAATGGCAATTTAAATATTAATTCACCATATTATGAGATACGAGCCTTTTCGGTTAGATCTAACTCTTGTTGATTTTAAATTTTTAACCGTCAATATTTACTACCATGTAACATTGCTAATCAATAACAATTTGATAAAATTTCCTTTTAAACTTAATATCTGTCATAAAATTCTGTCCATGGAGGTGGGATGAGATTCGAGTTCAAGTGCCAGTTCAAGTCAAAATCAACCCCAAGAAGTGATATATTGAAGAAGGAATCGTCGTTTAGATTTAGCAATCAAAGCAAATCTAATCAAAGCCCCTTGCTTTGATTGCAACAGCTTACCTCATAAAGCAACAAGATACATTTGCCCTAAAAGAAGCAATAGAAAAGGTATTGGAGTTGATTGAATACCTTCAGAAGAGCCAAGGGAGTATTCAGTATTGACGTTGAAATCTTAACTAATGATTCATGCTGCGCTTGCCGCATGGAACTGACACAATCACAGAACCGGGGAAAGCTTTCCGTGGAACACAACTGGAAAGTTAAAAATCACGAGAAATACACGTCATAATTTTCTATACTTTTTAATTTCCTATACTTGAATGAGTGAGTATTGAGTACACAGTAATTTGAACCAATATCCAGTAAGGTGGTCGCCAGAAATAAGAAATTTAACTTTTAGTGAACTTGAGACTTAACAAATTCCATCCCAACATTTTAACAAATGCCAGCTCACAACAATAAGAGGAGCAGAAGTAACCCAAAAATTGAAAGTAGAAAAACATCAGGACAAGCCTTTTACACTTGACATTCATAAGTACCTGGCTTGCATAGGGACCCTACTATGATTTGTAACTGTTAACGCTTGTAATCTATTAGCAAAAAAGCTAGCATGCAACAACCATTCCATTGAAGACCATGTTATGTTTCTAAGCAGTCTGTACTTTCCCCTGAGACTGGGTATTAGATTTGGAAACCCCTTCTTTCCATCCTTTCTGACGAGCCCTCAGTTCCCACAACACTGTCAACTTCTTTTGTGCCGCTAATGCTGCCTCAGCTTTCTCCCTGGCATCCTCGCATGTCTCCATCCCTGAATTACATTTGTCTGCTTCCTTTTGATACTGAGATGTAATTTTCTTAGCCTCAAGCAGAGCCATATCAGTACGTCGCTGATTTTCCAGAGCTTCAGTTTCTCGTAATTTTATCTCTTCTGACAACAACTCCGCGAAGTTCTTTTCAGTGTCTCCACTCACCTCTGGATCATGTTTTGCACAATCTGAACATTTCCAATCAAGGAAAAACAGGAAACAAGGTACTTGGTAAAGGGAGTTGGATCTAGAAAATACTAATAAAACCAAATTGGGGAATGCTTGATCTTTTGTGTCAAATTTCAGGAGAGAGTTTACTCAGTAAATTGCTAGTCTAAGATTTCCGTGTATAATGTTCATTAGTCGAAGCTCAACTGGGAGGCAATCTGTAATCTGAGCAAGTCTACTGCAAGTTCAAAATGATATAGAAATCTTTATGATGGGCTTGGGGATAGTTTTGAGCCTGAAATCCCAGCCCACGTTAATCAGTGATTTTGTCTCTGATATTCAGTTTAATCACAGCTGCGAATAATAAAGTAGCAAGGTTTCATCACTTTACTGGTCTGATCACTTCACTTTTTTCTTTCACATTAGATAATTTGCATCTTACAGAGAAACTTATTTGGACTTTATATAGGAAAAAGAAACCAACCTCCAAACGAACCATTGCTAAGCCCTGCACAATTAACATACAGTGAAAAAGAAATAAGTGCAAGTTTAATGGCACAAAAAAATGACTATAATTTAAGGAGTCTCATTGATTTGCAATTCTATTATTAAGAAGCAACGAATTGGTATTGAACAATGAGAGGTCGGGATTTTTAGGTTAATGAAAAATTGGGAAAGGAACTGATAATCATTCTGGACACTAAAATGTTTTTCAGCACTTCATCAAATATTCCTCTTTCAATATCATCATTCTAAATGGTGCCAACCAGTCTCCTCAAACTACTCGTGCAAAATATGAAACTTTGAACAGGTTAAATCCCACTGGAAAGGCCAGGCATATTTATGTGATCAATATAATATAGAGAAGAGAGTAATTAGCAGAGTCATCTGCATCTTTTTCAAATACCAAATAAGTATATTGCCCATAATGCGTAACCAAGCATTCAGAAGAAAAGGGTACATATAAGCAACAGATTTCCCCCAAAATTTATACATATTTTGTCAAGGATTATACGAGGGAACCTGTTGTGCAATGGGAATGAGCATTATGTTATCACTTAAAGAAGTGAGACAGACAGCAGAACTTTTTTCACCAAAAGAAAAGACAGTATAAGTTTAAGCTCCTAAAAGAGAGGCACGATGGTTCGGAAGACTCAAAACGATAATTGCAATTGTAGTCTCAAAGTGAAGAGTTTAAACTGCTTGAGCATCTAGATCTACCCAGGTCAAAGAAATTTCCATCAATTGAAGCACGACATCCGAATAAGGCGACTTTAAGTCCATAGTTTCAGAAGTCCCTTAACGCTAGATCTCAAAAAGTTTCTTCTTTAATACTTCTAAATTTGATCAAAACATTACAGAATTGAATTACCAAGGTGTGCGCTAATGTAAGACTATGAGATCTTCAATTCCGCCTCACATGGTTTACCAGCAGACGGGGAAGTTACAAGAGGAAATACGTAAGGAGGAAACCTATCCTCAAGTAAAATTCAACAGTCAAGGGATAGCAAACTAACAAGGCTAGGATTCAAAATTAACTACAAGGAGACACAGAATCCCATGTCCACAAGAGATCTGACCAGATCCAGAACCGAGAAAGCAAGGACAATAAATCATCGAATAAAATTACCTTGGGGTATAGAGAGGATGGGTTCAGAAGAGCAATCGCAGATGCAGGGTGCACAAGTAGAAGAGTGCTTGAGTGCAGCAACACCTTCCATGAAATGCCAGTACAGAGGAGGAGCCAGAATGTAGCCTGCGATGCACAGCGCCATCACACCCAAGCCCACCTTCAACAGAACTAGACTACAAGACACCCGTGATTGGTTCATAGCCATCTCGCTATTTCACACACTTCACTCTTTGAGATGGAAAAAAAGAAAGAAATGGTTTAGAGTGTGAAAATTGAAACGAAATGAATGCTATTACAGGAAGCTGCGTCAAGCTGTCAACACCCAGGAAGCTACTTGCCCCCCTCTTAGTTTTCTTCTTCCAGGATCTCGCTCAAGTTATTTCCATCTTCTCTACCCCACGAGTTAATTTATAATTTATAAGCAGAGAGACACGCAGTGGAGTTGACTCCGTCTCGGACTTGGGTCTCCGTCTAACCAAGCCTACATTTTCAATCTCCGGTACAAACGCAATTAAGAATACGGTGGCTTTTGCATTTATAATTTATCTCTTATACTTTTATTGGGAGTGGTAGGGAAAATTGACCTTCATGCTATTAAAAAAAATTATTTATCAACAATACCACACTTTTAATAACATTTACTTAGATGCTATAAATTTAAAATTTAGATTGATTAACACTGAGTTTTTAAAAAAAAATTGGTCAAAAGCATATCAAGCCAAATTTTATTTAATTTTAAAAAATAAATATCTGTCTTATTATCTCTTTCTTTAGCTAAAGTTTTTTTTTTCTTTTAGATATAGAACTTGATTTCTATCAAGTCAAGTTCTATTTAATTTTAAAAAAATTAAATATATATCTCATCCTCTCTCTCTTCAACCAAGTTCTAATTAATTATCTAGGTAAAATTTAAATAATACAATACTTATTCCAACATTATTAACTCTATTAAAGAATAAATAATCAATTAAAATCTCTAATCAATTGAAATTAAAATGTTAATGTCTGATATAACATTAGACATTTGGATTGACTAAATAAATCATCATGAATATCTAAAATCATCAAATAAAATGCTCTGAGTAGTCATTATAGATAAAATAATAAAATTGCTAGCATATTTTAGGTTATGCCATAAATTATACTAAATCACCGTGGATCCCTAAAATTATCAATCGGGATATTATGAATGACACTAATTCATTATAACATCTCTATTTTTACTCCTTAAATCTAAATAAAAAAAATTTATAATCCTGTAAATATTAAGGAATTGTGTTTAGCAAAATACACTATTAGAGTTTAATTTTTAAGATGTTAAGAAAGCACTATAAAGATTACATAATATGTGTGTGGGGGCGGTTTTATAGATTATTAATTATTGAAAAGAAAATAATGAAGAAGATTTAAAAAAAAGGAGGAAAGAGAAAATGGTTACCGAAATGTGTAGCCCACTGACTTATCTTATTATCTCCGATCCCATTTCTTCTTCTGCATGCATCATTGCCTCTTTCTTTCTTTCTATCTTTCTATGACGCGGTGCACAGTGAGAAACTGAGATAAAGAGTGAGCAAAATTTTAAAGATGGGGTGCCATAATAAAATATTTTGAGTATGATCTTAAGCTTTTTCAGACTATATAAGTGTTTTAAATATTTTTCTTAATCACATACTCTCTTTAATTTTTGATTTCTTGATAATAAAAAACTTAGGGTTTGATATAGTTTGAATTTTTAGGAATTTCAATTGATTATTTAGCCTTTAATGGAATTAATGATGTTGGAATAAAGATTGTTTGACTTAAATTTTACTCAAATAATTAATTAGAATTTGGCTAAAAAAAGAGAGGATGAGATATATATTTAATTTTTTTAAATTAAATATATCTGACCCAAAAAACTGATTGGAGAAAGAGATGATGGGACTGATATTTATTTATATTTAAATTATATAGCTATGCACATTTTTTACTAACAAATTTTGAAACTCAGTGTTAATCAGACCAAATTTTAAATTTGTAGTGTCTAGGTAAATATTATTGAAAGGATAATATTATGGTAAATAATTTTTTTTTATAACACGAAGGTCAATTTGCTGAGTGGTAGAGTGTACGGAACTTTTTTACCAATATATATACACACACAAACACCAAATAATGAATTGGTAACTACATTAATTATATTTAATTAGTTGATTGGTAGTTATTCATCAATTTTATTCTATAATAATTCCTTGAGATTTATCACACAATTAATTACAAAAAAATTGTGTAAATCATGAATGGAAAACAATATAAAATTTAAAAGGGAAAAATTAAATATTATAAATGAAACTAATGTGAGAAGGGAAAAAAATGTAAAGCTCTACTATCCATGACAACCAATGAGAGAGAAAAATAGCTAGGGTATATGTAAACCATTCCTTCAGGTATAAAATGAAAGTAATAAATGGTTAAAGATAAGGGAGAATGATAAAGAAGCTTAAAAAAATTAATTAATTTAAGATAGGTTACAATTGTCAAACTCCAAAAATTTATAACTCAATCTCTCAATTTTATAACTATATTGTGATGAATTTGTAACTTATTTTTTAAATTTTAATATAGTTAAAAAAATTATTTTTCCTGTTAAAATTTAAAATACAAATTGTAAATTCACCACAATAGAGTTGTAAAATTGAGAGATTATATTGTAAATTTTTAAAGTTTGGCACTTAAACCTAACTTAAATTAATTAATTTTTTTTAAGACCTCTATGTCGTTCTCCCCAAAGATAATGAGAGTGTGAAAAAGATCATACTCTTAAATAAGTCTTGTATATATATATATATATATATATATATATAACAGTTTATCTATCATATTCATTTGACCTGCATTAGTAATATGGGTTGATCCCGATATTAACCCATGAAAAAATACAGGTTGAGTTAAAAAAAATAAATTCATTTATATGCAAGTTAATTTGGAACCCAAGGCCACTTATTTTTTTTTTAAACAAGGACAAAAATTGCAAAATCACTTTCAATTCTCAAGTTTGCCAAAATTTTAAAATTGTACCATGTACAGCAATTCTAAATAGTTGATTCATAAAAATTCTAAAAACTTTTAATATTGAATTGGGCCATAAGATTAAATATATATTATCCTAATTGATAATAAAATAAATTTATTATTTTTTTATAATTTTTATTTTAATAGTTTTAAAATAAAAAATAAAATAAAATAAATTTTGTTAAGCTAGACCGTTCAAGACCAAAATTGGACTTGAGGTATTATGACATATCCTTAGCAACTAAATTAATTAACCTTCACTGAAGGGTAAGAAGCCTTCATTTAGACAACAAAGAAATGAAGAATAAATTTTCATTACTGAAATCAATATCAACATATAATATAAACAAAATTAATATACCAAGCTGCACTTTTTATTTTATATAAGAGAAAGCAATTTAGTTATGTCAATAAAAATAAAAGGAAAAACATTAAAATCTTTGTACCGTAATAGCTATATTTTCTCATTTACTTTCCAAACTTCTACATGTTGATTATATTTTTATGTTTAATTATGTTTAATTTTTTATTTTGTGGCAGATGAAATGTTGGAAAAATTTACTCAAATTAATGTTATTGTAGCTTTTAATAAAACTTCTAACATTATGATTGATTAGAAGAAATCTTCAAGCTTTGAATTGTAATTAAACATTTTATTATGTTTGTTTGTGATTGATACATACACACACATATATGTATGGATGTATGTATGTATGTATGTATTTATTTTGGATTGTATTAATATATTTTTAATTTGCATTTTTTTAATGATTTAGAAGGATTTTTATTATTATTTGGATATTAATTTTTAGGGAGAAAATATGATTTTTTTCACCACAAAAAAATGAAAGAAGGTGAATTTGTAATTTTCAGAATTTTAAAAAAATGCATATAAAAATATTTTTTTTATTGGTGAGTTAGTGAGTTGGTAAAATTATAACCCGCATAAGATGCGAGTTATGTCAACTCAATTCGCTAAGCTTGTAACCTACTGCGGGCTAGCTCATGAGTTGCGAGTTGACCCGTATAATTAACTCTACTTGTAGAATAGTGGATGAAGATAAAAGTTGAAATAGTTTATTTGAAAATGATAAACACATGAATCCCATATTGTGGTTTCACAAATAGCCCTCTCAGGAAGGGCAGGAAGGGCACCACCAAATACACACTGCATAACACGTCTCCAACCCCACTTTCATTCCCACTCTTCTCTGGTCTCTCCAACCTTGGGAATTTCATCACCATAGCAATGGGTTGAACCAGTAAAATAGTGGTCGCTGGCGTAAATATTGGATACTCGTGGAAGGTGAACTTTCTAGGACTTTCCTGCATATACATCAGAACAAGAAGTTGGTGGCTCCTTCTGTGTTACATCAAACATTGTGCTAGAATCCCCCAACATCTTCATGATGGCACTCAAAGAACCCACAAACCAGGCATTCATGGCCATTATTCTTCTCATTCTGTGATTGCTCCACCATGCTCGAATTGATAACCTGATTGCCAAATATTCTATTAGACTGTAGATATTGCATGTTACAAAAATTGAAACACGAATCCATAGCCAGGGTTCCTGAAAGTTTAATATTCACATGCACGACTTCATATAAATGTACATAATAGTGTATATATTAAACTTAAAATAGTAAAATGTTTGTTAGTCTGTGTTGTGTTGGAAAGCTGACCTTGGGTAAGAAGGTGGACTTGGTTGTGAGGCAATACGTAGGTAGAGCAGCATAGAATATTTCTGGAAAGGCGTGTGCAAGCCCCGATGGATGAGCCATAAATAGGCTAAGCATTGTCTGAGCTAGAGCTTACCAAATAGGAAGTACAAATAGGGACTTTGGGCCCCAACAGGACCATAAGTTGGCCGGAAGTCCATCTCTTTTGTTGGACCATTGTAGACGTGAAACTGTTAGGCGTGCAAACTCTGATCTCCAACCTTTTCTATGGATGCTCAATCCAAGTTGTTGATCCTCTGCTAGTGATCCATCCAACCTAAACTTCCAACCAAAAAAAAAAAAAAAAACCAACACCAACAAATTCAAGGTATAGGGTATGATTACTCTGAGATGGCAATGTTGTGCCAATTTTAGATGAAAATTTCAAATTTTTTCTTCATGTATGCTGAAAGATTTCTTGAATGACTTAATTGCATAATTTGATGCTGACCTGTTTGTCCCAAGCAGTGCCAGATTCATCATATCCACAGCTAGAAACCTGGATCGCAGTGTGGAAGAAAAAATCACATCACTGCTACAAAAATATGTGCTGTCTTGCCAGGCCTGAGCAGCTAGTTTGACAAATTCATTTGAAGTCCCAAATTTTTCCAGTTCCTTGTCGGACAATTTTTTTAAAAAGATGGAAAATGAGAGCATTTTAAAGTTTCTTGGTTTGACGCTCATACGGATTAAATAATTACAATGTGTGATATATATATATATATATATATATATAATGAACATGTAAATGATATGCATTAGAGTTCAAATCACGACCTTCACTTTCATGCCCAGTGTCATCAGGGTGATGCCCATAAATAACTTTGAAAGAATGGCATATAAGTCTTAGGGGATCAGTAATTCAAATTAAGTTTCAATCAATTTCAAAGTGTTAAATTTTAAAAATTTATAAATTTAATTTTTAATTTTACAACTTCATTACCCATAAATAACTTTGAAAGAATAACATATAGGTTTTAAGAAGATTAATTAATTCAAATTAAGTTTCAATCAATTTTGAAACGTTAGATTTGAAAAATTTACAGATTTGACTCTTAATTTTATAATTTTATTGTGATAAATTTATAATTTATATTTTAAATTTTATCAAAAAAATTCACTCATGCTAAAATTTATTTTAGAATTCAATCCGACAAAATTACAAAATTGAAAACTAAAACGTTTGATACTCTAAAATTTAATTTAAATTAATTAATTCTTTTAAAACTTATACATCATCCTCCCTATAACTTTTCTTCTATGGAAGCAACTGCTTCCGCAGAAAAACGGTCCTTGGAGCCCTGCATACCAACTAGCATGTACTGCACCTCACAAAACAAGAAACAATGAGCTTTTTATAAAACTCTTTAGTTCTTACACGTGCTCATTTCAATAGGAAACAATGGATGACTCTAAAAAGACACAAACTTCGGGTTTTTCTTTTTTGAAAAGACTGCTGTAGTTGCTGGTTTCAGAAAGGAACATCTTTCAAGCCACCAGTAAATTGCTGAAAACATTGAACAAATGCGACTTCTTTGTGGCTCTTGTGATCCAGGAATATGCACATGGCATGTTGAACAATCTTTGGACTGTTCACCATTATGTCAAATTCTACGTTCAGCATGTACGGAGCATCGCTCATCAACCCAGACACTCTCATCTGCACATTATAACAATACACATCATATTACACTTAGTCTTATATCAGGAGAAATGGGAATGGGGGTGTTTATGATTTTACATGACAAAACAAAAATGCCGAGGTATTAAAAGACCCAAAAAAGTGTTAAACCAAACATTTTTGGCACCAGCTTTGTGATGATGAGGATGTCGTGGTCTCTTCTCTCTTGATATTCCATATAACCTACCGATCGACTCATGAAAACCGAGTTCCGCTGATGATAATTTAATTAAATGGAAAGAGACGTAAAAATGATCCTCCTATGTATGCCACTCTCGAAAGTTCCTCTGAGGCTCATCACATTAGCATGCTAAGACAAGTAAATTAACCAAATCAAAAAAGGTCTTCGTTGTGCAGTTCCTCAATGTCGTCCTCTGTCATCACCATGGGTCTTCACTCTTTAGCTCATACCTCTCGCTGTGGGTTCTTCCGCAAACCTTTCAGAGTTGAATTTGAAAAATAACCTCGAGAGAAGCAGAGGCCAACAAGGTACATACTGGTCTGATCTCTTCTCTTGTTCTGCGAAATCGACCGACGATGATTTGTGTGGTGCTATATAGGAATTGAATGACAAGAAGAGGTTGGCGACGAGGGGGGCATGCTTTACATAGAACAGACTCTGATGAAACCTGCCTTACCGCTTTCGTGCTTCTTCCTCGTCCTCTCTGAGCTTCATTCTTCCACAGGCGTGAACCCTGTTGCCGGCATCGTCTTCTCAAGAACCCAGGTGCATTTTTCTGTTTTCCTCTGATCCTTCGTTCTCCTTGTAATTTGTTCGCTGGTTGCCTCTGGTTCAAAATCAATTCATATTTGATTTTGTTTCCGTCTGGTTCTTCTGTACGTATTTGTCTTCGGAATAGACACAATAGCGAAGCTTGTGTGGCACCAGCAGTAGCTTCGTACTTCCACAGTGACTTGACAAGCTAGAAGCCACCCAACCCACAAATTTGTTCCTGTGATTTTAGATGCACAATATTACGCTACACCATTTTCGAGAGTGAAGACCATTTGTTTTAACTTGGATTTTTTGGCTGTGCAATGTTCTTTTTTATGATTAATATCAAAAGAGGATTATATGCGTTGTGCACTTTTCAGTTGGTCTATTAAGAGCTGTTTATCCCTTTCTAATGCAAATTCTATTTTTATAATCCTTCCTTCTTCCAGCTAGCTGCGATATAGGGCTTTCTTTGTTTTCTTATAGATCTGTTCCTGTTGTGTGCTTTCTGTGTGCTTTCGTGTTTGTCAGTAATCTCTAATTGGCAAGTTATTTCATAAGATAGATGGAGATTTTCATTTTTGAAGTACGCATGTGCAGACTATATATTGAGTTTAGGCAGAGTCTTTCCTGTTTATAAACTTTTTATGGTGTGGTGATTTATCAAGGCAGACAAATCAGCACATGCTGATGCTAAATTTAGTTTTCCTTTGAATTAATTGTTTGGTTTAATAAGTTTTATGGAGATGCTCATCTGGAAATCAATTTGTAAACCCATTCCTGTTGACGCTCTTGGATCTAAAGTCCTTTACATGTGTTGTCATTGATGAGAGGGAAAAGGGCCTGTGGGAAGAAGAAAGTGAATTTATGACAGTTGTTGTACTCTACTAAGATATGGTACTTTTGCCTCCTATTGTATTTTTGAATTCTTCTAATTTTGTTGCATGTTCAACTTAAATGTCATCACTTGAAGGGTTCATAATGGGTTTAGAACTTACAAGCATGGGTGACACATGTTTCCTCTATTTCTCCAGGCAAAGTTTCTCATTGCAATGCCTATTGAGTATCTTAGCATTTTGGATATCTTTTGCTCTTTTTTTTCCCCAAAAATGCCCAAGGATATATTGTGAAATGTTGTCTGTTTGTTATTGGTGCCTTGTTTGGAGTATTGAAAGATTGATGAGCTTCAGAGAATGTGTGTCTTATATGACATTTGAAGATTAGTAACTGTCAATTTCCTCCGGCATCTAGATGCAACTTGTGGGTGCTTTTATCCCATTCTGATTATATATTTTATTATTTTGATTGCAGTAGAATTTGACATTGTTGCCAAAAATTGTTGTGTTTTCTCCATTTTTTCCATACAGCCTGTGGTGGATGCTTTTGATCCAAGATTGTTAATAGCTCCTCCTATGTTCCATGTGACAGACTTCACAAAAATAAAGATAATAGCTCCGCTTCAGGTTTATGAAGTATTTTCACGGTCAAAATTTTATTGTTTTTAATTGTAATGATACTTGAAATGAAGTTACCTTTGAAAAGCAGAGGATCACAACTTTCAAGCTGATTTTCTGTAGGAAGAGCTTTATGAAATAGATATACCTCTAAGATTCATGGCCGCTGTCGTTGCACGAGTGCATGGGTTGGCTTGCTGGTTTGATGTGCTGTTCAATGGAAGGTGAAGATTGCATTATAGACATTTTTATCATCCATGTTTATTCATCTATATTCATGTCTATTGATTTGCCAACATTTTTTCCAAATCCTTATTACTGGGCAAAGGTGGCTCACGACTGCTCCAGGGTCACGAACAACCTACCAGTGCCAATTGCACTGTGTTCTCTCCCAGCCAAATTATGTCAGGGCGGGACAAGAAATTACTGGCAGGTTGCACATGATTACTCTTTAATTTTTTCCCCCTATTTTCATTCATTCATTCATTTATTTTAACATTAGATGGAGACATTCAAGTTTTCCCCCTTGTATGCTTGATAATCTTTATAGTTATATATCTTAATATTTTCATGGTTAAATTTATGTTCTTGCTATGTTGTTTAAATGTATAGGTATTTTTTAGATGATAGATAATTTAAATATATTGTTGTGTAAATAGGGGTAAATCATCTCATATCCAAAAAAATGGCCCTGTTTTTTTTAAATATCATTTTTTAAACCGGTTAGTATATATGTGTATATTTATATCAGTTATGATGTCATAATCAATGTAGAAATTGGTTTTTTAAAAGAAAAAAACTTTTATTCTATTCCTAAACTCTTATCTAAACTGGTTACTCAACTGGTGTAGAATAATTAACTTTTACATCGGTTGTATAACCAATTTAAAAATTGATGAGTTTTCTACACCTGTTTTACCTACACCGGTTACAAAATTAGTTTTGATAATCAATTTTAAACGTTTTAAATAATTTTTTTTGTACTAATGAAAGAAAAATAAGGAGGGAGGAAGTTGGAAAGAAAATAATGTGTAGGTATCACCTATTTCTATCTTTCATATTTTTTTTCAAATATGAAGAGATTGTGAAGAGAAAATTTAATTTTCAAATTTATCTATAAATTCTTTCATTTCAACTTGTTGCCCCTTGTTTTATAAAATGTCTTCTGTATTTTATAAAAATAATAAAATAAAAAAATTGAAAAATTTCATAAAAATTTACAAATCTCAACTTTTAGAATATTTAAATTCAAGTTATAAACTATTTGCATTTTTGGGATTTCACACATCTATCCATATTCCCTTTAATCATGGTATAAAACATCAATAACTATTTCAAGGTTATTAAAAAAATATGAGATTGGCGACGGCGGCATTAGTGGAAAAGAGCAAGGCTAAATAGTTGCAAACTTAAAGCCATGGATCATGGGAATTCTCCTTTTCCAAATAGCCATGTTCATCAAAACAAAACGAGTCTTCATTTCGGGTTGTTAAGAAAGTCATGAAGTTTTGTGTTGCATTGGGCCATAAAATTAACAAGGATAAATCTAAAATGTTTTGCTTGAGAAACATTTACATTAATCGAAGGCTAGAGTTTAGTTAGGTTTTGGGTATTGGAGTTACAACTGATTTGGAAAAATATCTAGGAATCCTTTTTATACATTCACATGTCACAAACTTGACCTTTAGCTCGATTTCCTAGAAGACAAGACAGTGCCTCTCACCTTGGAAAAGCAAGTTCTTGAATGCAGTTGGTCGAACTATTCTTCTTAAGGTGGTCCTTTCAGCACTTCCTAGCTATCACATGCAATCAACTTTGCTCTCTAAGGGTATTATTTGTGCTCTCAAAAAGCTTAGTGGAAGTTTTTTATTGAGTCAAGATGACAAAATCAAGAATATGCACCATGTAGCTTGGGAACAAGTCACAAAGTCTAAAAAAGAGGGTCATCTTGGCATTAAAAATTTAAGACAATAGAATGTGGCTTTCATAATGAAACTCTATTGGGGTATGACAACAAAGCTTGAAACCCTATAGGTACAATGCTTAAAAGCAAAGTATAAGTGTAGGGAATCTCCTATCCCGATGGTTAGAAAATTTAGAAATGCTTTTCCTACGTGGTGGTCTATTTCTGAAGTATAGGATACTTTTGAGGATAGACTTGAGAAAAAGGTTTACAGCAGTCGATCATCAAAGTCTTGGTGGGATCGTTGGAGTCTTTTGGATAAGCCACTCATCAAGTATGCTACACAAACTAGTTTAATCAACCTTTAAAATAGTGTCTGAGATCATGTTTTATCTAGTGATCAACAGATTGTATAGGGATAGAGGAAGACCCTACCATACTGAGTGATTTTCCTCCTTTTAAAGACTTAATCACTTGCCTCTAATGAAGAAGATGCCATGTGCTGGTGTCACTTAGTGAATGGCTAGTTTATAATCAAGAGTGCTTATAATTCCCTCTTCAGACATGGAGATGGGAGGGAGTTCTCGATATGATGTAGGCTATAGAAGTGGCAAGTCCTTAGAAAAATTCAAATTCTTTATGTGGTAAGTTTCCCATAAAAGATTGACAATAAACTTACTCAGAGCTAAGAGAGAATTGTCAAACACTAGCCATTGCCCTTTTGAGTGTAACAGTGAGGAATCCATTTTGCATATCTTGAGAGATTGTGAGAGAGCTAAAGAGGTGTGTAATAATATTTTGAATACTAATGCCTTTTATAGTTTTTTTGCTAGCAATTTATAGGTATGGCTACAATGACTCACCACCTTAGCTAAGGATAATTTCAAAGCGTGGACGTAGACAAGAGTGTTCACAATTGTTTGTTGGAGTCTTTGGACGTCATACTATAAATTTGTGTTTGAAGAATCTACTTTCAATACGGCTGATATCATCTACTAGTGCAAATTTCTTTTCACGGAGTTGGTTGTTAACAATGAGCTCAAGCATCATATTTTCCATTCTACCCATCCTCTAAAACAATCTTAGATAGCACCTAAACCAATTGTATTCGTGTTGATGTTGATGGTTTAGCCTAACATAACTACCATGCAGCTTGTGGGGGCATTTTAGAAACCACAAGGGAGACAAATTATAAGCACTGGTAAAAGTACTGGTTCACGGTTTAAAGGTGAGACCGTTTGTAAGTAAATTAATGTATTTTAAATATTACATACTAAAAATTATAGTTAAATTAATAAACTTAAGGAAACTTGTTGCTAATAAAGTAATAATTCCCACGTACTTCAAGCTCTAAAGTTATACAAATACAACCATATTGACTTATAATTTCAAACTAATAGTCTAATGCAAAGTACAAACAACAATGAAGACATCCCCATTTAAAGTCATGCATGCATAACATAATATTAAAATACAATTTAGTAGTCCACTTCAACTTAAAAACAACAATTTTCAGTTGTCATATAGGTCTTTTAAATTAAATTCTTCAAAATCATGTTGAAGATTAGAAACATCTTATTCATCTCTTATACCATATAATGATTCCATAATAGGAGACATATCTTCAATAGCACCTAAACATATATTTGGGAAAAAAAATTTAGCAATGATATATAAATAATGTATGAATAAATTATAAATCAAACAACACTTTAATGTAAAAAGAAGAAGAGAAACCTTCATTTTGCCTTAATTTAAGTTCAGAACCAAATCCATATGGATATGTATTGTATTGCTACTGCAAAGAAAATCTTCATTTTGAATTTATTAGCGGTGAAGTCAAGAGTTGGAGTTAGAGTTGGAGCTTTTTCAACTATCAAATACTTAAGTTTAATTTATCAATTGATTCATAATCAATATAATCATAACTTACCTTCTTCAAATTTGACCTTATATAAAAAAGAATAAAATTACTATCAAATCAAGTTAAAGAGAATAATTGCATATTTGCATAATGCAATTGAATATTGAATAATGAATTAATGACCACTTGTTTAGCAAATGCGAATTGTAATTAACAAACACAAAATCATTTAATCTTTCATATTCTAGCCTTTTTCTTTTTTCTTTTTTTCTTTTTGTATAAATTCTTTCAAATAAACTCTAATTTCTTTGACATCCTAAAGAAGCAAAAGTTTGTCCTAAAATGAGAATTGCAAACTTTTGTAATATTAGATCTCTACACTCAAAACATTGTCACCAAACATCTACATCAAATTTGAATAAATTAGTAATAGTTAATATTGCAAATTATAGTAAAGTAATAAAGCAAGAAACTGACGAAGTTGTATTTCATGTACTACTTTATGAGCTTTTTCTTAGCCAAAAGAGCCTTGGCATATGCAGTACATATGCATATCAGAAATCATATCAAAACATTTATAGGTGGGCTTGTATATTGAAAAAAAACTCTAGCAGTAATTCTATAACTCTACCCTTCTCATAAAATCCTTGATCATACAAGAATGCAGGATTTAAAAAGTATGTTGTTGCATGAAGATCACACTTTAAGTGCTTATCTCATCAAGCTTGAATTATGTTTGTCTAAAGCTTTATTGTTCCTTCTTTATACTAAAGAAATTTTTGATTAAATTCTTTGCTTTCTTCTCCTAAGCTATGAGAAAAAAGTTATATGATTATACACAAAAATAGTAATTTTCAATGCCTTTGTTGCAAGGTTGGATACATAAGGCATGCTTGTAATGTCTTCAAAATAAGATTCAAATAATAAGCAACATATGGTGACCAACAAATGTGATTATATTTTTCATGAATCAACTTGTCAATAGTTACATAATTGGTTGCATTATCAATCACACCATGCATTATTTTTTCAAGACAACCCCACTCGATAACTTCACAAAACAAAAAAAAAATTCTTGGCATCCTTAACTATATGTGAAGTATAAATAGATTTTATAAAAACCAAACTAACAAGAAAATAAACAAGGAAATTTATAATCATTCATTGCCTTTTGTCTGTCTAACCATCATCTATTTGTGTGTAGCCACTTTCTTTTCAAGTGGCTCAAATTTTTTTTTTTTTGCAATCAATCAATAAACTAACCCTTAACTCTTAAAATGAAAGACCTTTGAAACTTAAGATAATAGCAAAAATTCATGCAAAGCTGGCTAAAAGTATGAACAATTAACATCATTAAATGAAATTTAATTCATATATAACCCCTCAGCAAGGGTCATTTTAGCTTTGTAATAGGATTCTTTAGATGACTATATACTCTTAAGGTCTGGTTGGGAACCAAGAGTTGTAATTAGGCAAAACAATTGTCATCTAATGGTTTTTTTTTCCTTTTCACAACAATAATGCTAGAACTTAACTTGTTCTTAGTTTACTTACTTAACTCTGGACTTAAAGCAATTACTTCAAAATTTGCTTATAGATCATCAACATACTTTTCAGGAGTGTCTGGATCATCAAGCTTCCTCTTATTTGCCAGTGACACTTCTTCTAAGGATTGTACTATCCTATGACAAACATCATGTAGAACCTTCTTGCAAGATGTTATATTTCTCAAAACAATTGCAAGATGTTGCTTCATCTTACTTATCCCACCTCCTATACATGATGACAAACAATAAAGGCAAGTATAGACACAAGTTATTCTATCTTTTTTGAATGCAAAATGCTCCTATGCATGATCACTCTTCTCCTTAAAGAGATGGTTTAAGTGATACTTGAAGGATAAATGCAACACTATTTTGGTTAAAACCAGTAATAGTTTATAAAGTTGAACTTGCAGTTGGAGTGTAAGCATAAGAATTATTTAGATTGGAAGGACCAGAATTACTGGGGTTGGGAGCAGGAGTAGGAGAAAGACCATCCAAATCTATCATTCAATACAAGATAAGACAACAAGTACAAAAAAAAAATCAAATCATTAACAACTAAGTTAATTCAAAATTCAAAATTTAATAAATAGAAGTCATCATTCAACAACATAACAATGCATTTAGCAAGACAATACTAAGTATGACTATGAAGGATTGAAGGTTGAAAGGAAAGGAGCTCTAGCTTGTTAATCGAAAGAAGCATATGAGACTGATGAAGATATACTTGTGACTAGCGACACTAATGAAGACAGAGATTGTCTTCCTTGTGATGAGTAACAAAGAGAGATTCAGCTGCAAGACAAAAAGGAAGATTGATGCAGAGAACAAGTCAGATGGTTGATGAGGAAGAATGAATTGAAGTAGACTCTATTATTAATGAAGAAGTTGCTCTAAGAAGATAAAGTTTGTGCTTGATTCTTGTGACTTAAGAGAGCTTCAGCCGCAAGAGATTTGGGTTTAGGCTTCGAGAGTTTGAGATTGAGACTAAGAGTTTGCTACTTTGCATTTTGCTTTTGCCTTTTTCCTTCTCCTATTATCTTAAAAAAAAGAAAAATTTAAAATAAGGTTCCAAAACAACATTGTACTTGTAAATTAAGGGAGAATGAAAAAAAAATTAGAGTGAACCGTCTAGTCCATCTAAACCATCAATTCTCTTGGTTCATGCTAGTTCATGGTAGGTTTAGGCAATTTGTAGGCAGTTCCTTTCTCTCTTAGTTATATAACAGTTCTAGACCAACTAACTGGCCGGTTTTTAGTTGAACTAGTTGAATTGGCTGGTCCAGTCTACCTCTAATAACCTTTAAAAAAATATGATAAATGTTTTTTGAAATTTATAATTTTGCTTATAAATACAAAGAGACATATGATAGTTTCTTTTACTTCTTTGGTCCTATTTATAAGGCAAAGAGAGAAAATTAATTTTGGTCCTCTTTACAGGGCACCTTACTAGTTTCTATGTTCATCTTTACATTTATGCCATTTGTGTTTTATCCAAAAAAATCTTAAAACTTATTAACTATAAGCCCATTTGTTTTAGATTATTTTTTGAGAAAATCACTTATTTTTTTAAAAAAATATATTTTGTGAGTTTTTATTATAGTTGTTTAAAATTTTAAAAATAATAAAAAAGTATATTTTTAATTATTTTAAGAATTATTTTAAGTAATTTTAAAAATAATTTAATACAGTAGATGAGAGAGAATGCTTTAAAGAGGCAGAATATGCAAAGCTATTATAAAATTTTAAAATAATATAGTAATAAATTATTTTTATAAAAAATAAAAATATTATAAAATTTAAAAAGAACTAATTAATAATCACTTTTTTATAATTGTAACGAAACAAAATAATGCTTACTTTTTGTAAAATCTCTATAAAATAAATATCTTTTTTATAAAATTTTTAAACTATCTGAAAATTACTTATTTTTTAATTTTAAACAAACGGACCCTATGTCTAAAATTGAATGAATTTTCAACTTTACTTTTATTAATTATGCTTATTTTAATAACATTTTTTCTTATTAATATTTAATAGAAGGTTAAAGGAGAAAGGTGTGATAAAAATGTAATGATGTAAGTTATAAATAAGATAAAAAGAAAAGAAAAGAAATCTTCTCTCATTGCTTATAAATAGAGAAGAGAGGGGAAAAGTATATATTCACGGCACAATTGAGTATGATAATTTCAACACACTTGTTATTCAAGAAAGAAGTTGAATAAAAGAGTCTTTCAATGGAGTAGGACATCAAACCATCGAAGCAGTAATACTGCTTCTAGAACAGTGGATAAAGAGAATGGCCAGAATAGCTGACTTGAAAATTGTAGACAGGGGAATCCCATGCGGTGCTTTCCCAAATAGCCCCTTTAAGAAGGGCAAGAAACACACCACCAAATACACACTACACAATACCTCCCCAGCCCCACTCCCGTTTCCACTCTTTTCTGCCGCCCCCAACCTTTGTAATTTCATCACCAAAGCCGTGACCTGGACAAATAACACGGTGGTTCCTGGCACGAACACTAGATTCTCATCAAACGTAAACCTTCCTTTATCTGTACCTGAACCAGAAGTTGGTGGCTCCTTCTGTGTCACCTCGAATGTCGCTTCAAAATTCCCTAACATGTTCAGTATGCCACTCAGAGAACCCACAAACCAGGCGTTCATGGCTGTTATTCTTCTCATTCTGTGATTGTTCCACCATGTTCGAATTGATAACCCGATTGCCACGTATTCTATCAAATTGTATATGTTGTGTATCACAAAAATTGACATATAAATCCACAGAAAATGGTCCTGAAAATTCAATATTTATTATTAAAGAACGTATATTTCTTGAATACAAAAATACTAAAATGTCTGGCAATTAGTGTCTTGTTAGAAAGCTAACCTCAGGTAAGAAAGTGGAGTTGGTTATGAGGCAATATGCAGGTAGAGCAGCATAGCATATCTCCGGGAAACCATGGAAGCCCCAATGGATGAGCCATAAATAGGCCAAGCACTGTCTGAATTCGATCTTACCAAAGAGGAGGCCCAGATAGGGACTTTGGGGGCCTAACAAGACAGTAGGCAGGCCACAAGCCCATCTCTTTTGTTGGACCATTGAGGATACAAGACCTCCGGGGGCGCAGCCTGTGAAAGCAATGGGGTCTGGAGTACAACACTCTGACCTCCAACCGCTTCTGTGAATGTTCAACCCAGTTTGTTGATCCTCTGCCAATGACCCATATAACCATCCCACCTAAACTTCCAATTAATGAAATAATAATTAATTAAGTTGCATTTTGATTATATTGTGCGAGGCTTGGATGAAAATTTAAACTTAAGCGTGTTTATTATATGCTTTTATTAATATTATGCTGACCTGTTTGCCCCATGCAGTGCCATATTCATAGTCACAACTAGAAACAAGGATTGAAGCCTCTAGAATTGTGGAGGGAGTAATAACATTGCTACTGCTAGAACATGTGTTGTCTTCCCAGGCTCGAGCTGCTTGTTTAACAAATTCCTTGGAACTTCCAAATTTTTGTTCTAGTTCCTTGTCCAACAATCTTTCTGCAAAAGAAAAAATATGCAAAACGATGGCGTTTTTATGTTTCTTACTTCCTAGTTGGAAGACTCGCGTCGTGACTATATATGGATTGGTGTCCAAATCATATGAAGATATATCCTAGAGTTGAAATACAGACCTTGATTTTGACGTTGGGTGTCACGAGGGTAGCAGCCGTATATAACTTGTCTTCTATGGAAGCAATTGGTTCCACAGTAAAAGGGTCCTTGAAGCCCTGCTACTCCAACCATTAGATACTGCATTTCACAAACACAAAACGAGACTGAGAATTAATATTTGATTCATCGGTTCAAAATAAAGAAAGAATTTATGTTTTTCGGCCGGGGCTTTTGAACGAATTTAAAGTTTAAACACACCATGAAAGCAGCGACGAACTGGTTGCCAAAGGGATCATCTTTGAAGCCGTCGTAAAATTGCTGAAAACATCGGACAAATGCAACTTCTCTGTGGGCCCTAGGATCCAGAAGAATACACATGGCATGCTGAACAATCTTTGGATTGTTCACCATCATGTCACAGTCTACGTTTAGCATATACGGAGCGTTGCTCATCAGCCCTGAAACTCTTGTCTGCACGTTAAAATGACAGTAATAAATATCAATGTTACGTTGTGCGTGCTCATGGGAGAGACGCGTGCCCCTCTTATTTAAATAGATTTTTTAAAAAAAAAATCTTTCTCTTTACTTTATAAATAGAATCAGGAAAGTGTATGATTTTATATATGAGATGGAACTAATAACAAAAATGCCAAGGAATTAAAAGCAGAAAAAATGTGTTATACCAAAACATTCATGGCACCAGCTTTGTGATGATGAGGATGAAGTGGTTTCTTCTCTCTTGATATGTAGATTAAGTTGGGCAGTCCATCTGATTGGCCTTCCTTGTTCTCCCATATAACCTACTTATGAAAAAGAGGTTCAACACACTGCTTGGGTTACTATTCAAGGATATGTTTTATAATATAAAACAACTTAAGATAGGAAAGAAAGAAAGACGTGAGCATGCAAACCGAAACTTGAATTTTAATTTGAATTATAACAAGGAGTAGAGAAAAAAATTGGAAATTAAAAAAATTAAGAAAGTGAAATAATGATGAACTATTAGGGTTTAGATACCATAATTATGGGTGGGTGATTTCTCCGCTCGGCGTTCATGAAAGCTACAAACCCTTCCCTAAGCTCAATTTGCTCTGATTTTGTGCTCGCATCTTCAATTTTACGGCTCAACTTTTCATACTCTTCCTGCAAGCCAAGACCCAACAAACCATTCCTCATTATTTTCCCAACACCTGACCATAAATATGGGAGTGTACGTTGCAGTGGGATAGATCCACAGTAGATAATTGTACTGTCATACACTACGGAGAGAGAGTCACGAGACTGGAGGTTCTCCGTTGCGTCTGCTCCCGTTTCGCACTGACTTCAGTGAAGATGAATATTATAGGAGGTATTTGAATTACTTATTTTTAACCTGGATACCGCCTTCAATCAATTTTATCATTTAAATTTATATTTTTTTAAAAAAATCATCCCATTGATTATACGTATTAAAAAAGTTTTCATTAATAGATATAATAATTCAATTATAAGTGATATTTTAAGAAAATCATTGCACATGTTTTTGGGGTAAACCACCAACGACTCTAACTAATCTGATCAAGCACGGTTATGAACTCTGCAGCAAAAACTCTATCATAAAATGATGCTGCAATTTTAAGCCTCTAGTTAAGCCGATGCAAGCATCTTGCGAGTTGAAGAATAATCGCTTCACAACCTTACCTTCATTCGCAGGGAATCTTGTGTGAATTCTGGGGAGTGCTGGCCGCCAGTGGGCTCATCAGAGAAGAACCTAAGAGGAGCTCTGAGTTGGACGTTGTACTTCCGACAGAAAGGCACCCACAGCTGAGCAAATCGAAAGGCTTCGACAAGGGCGTAGAAAGTAACAGGGGAACACCCATCATCGGACACATAACAAGCTAACTTCTGAGGAGGGTAATCCAGCGCTAACAGAGACAGCACCGTGTTCACGGTGATGATAGGTGGTTCCAGCACTGGATCCGCCGTGGTCACCAACAGGTCCACGGCCGGAAGCTCCGGTACCCTGTTCCCAAGAACAAGTAGACAAATAAGAAAACAAGAACGAAATCGGTTAAGCGAAGTAAGTGAGGTAATCTAGATCTGCATACTGTAGAGAAAGAGGATGGAGGAAGGTGTTGATTCGAGCAGGAGACCATTTGGTGCTGAGGATCATAAACCAGTTGAAGGTGAACCATGATTCGCATAGGAAGGCAAGAAAGCAAGGGAAGGTGAAGTGAGTGGAGAAGGAGATAAGCCTATGAGAAAGAAGCAATAGAAGGAGGAGGAAGATGGAGCCGTCCATGACCCTCTGGAACGTGCGTCTCAGCCTGATTTTTTCATACAGTTGGACTTCCTCCATTGAATCTTATTCTCCAGTGGTCGCACGACGACCAAATCCTGCAATGGTTATATATACCCAAAGGTCTCGTTTAACTCGAATACATTATTTTCGTTTTCTTGCCTTAATAAGAAAGCAAATATTTTTCACATCCAGTAATGGTCTATATGGTATTGGAGACGGACGAGTCAGTACTGTCCTGCAATAATTGCCAAATTTCAAGTTACTCCCTCCACTCCATCCAAGGGGCGCCGTGTAACACCACTGAGATAGAAATATATATATATATATATATATCAAGTAGGATTCCTCTTGAAATTTTTAAAAATTTTCATATATTCCTTTATATTTTACAAAATATTAAATATTTAATTTTCATGTTTAAATTTTTTAAAAAAATTGGTTACATATTTCAATCTAGTAAATTTATTTATTATAATTCTTTTTATAAATTACTATTATTTGTAATTTTAAACTTTAGCTTTTTTCTTTTGTTACTATTGTGGTAATAAAGTTTTGCTTGTTTTTCTTATAAGCAGGGCCACACATGTGAAAAGGAGATATGTGTCAAATCTTGGAGAGAAAAAACCAAAAAGAAAAAAGAAGAAAAGAAAGATGGAAGCTCGCGAAGAAAATGAGACAAGATATTAAATAATAAATAAATATAAGATGGAAATAAATTTGTATTGAAGAATTGCTTTTATTACCTAAATGAATGCATCAGTGGTGAATGTATAAAAAATTATAAACTACCTACCTCTCCAATGTTTTGAAATAAATAACCAGACAATCAATAAAGAAGGTAAAAAAAAATTTATCGAAAAAGAGTGAGACAAAATCTTTAAAAAAGAGACGTAGATAAAAAAAGGAAAAATATAATAAGATTTTTTTCGCCGTGCTAAACGGGTGAAGATGAAGGACATAAAAATAAAAAATAAAAATACATACTAATACCCTATCCACATGATAGGAGTTCTAACCATGAATTATGCTTATTATGATTTGTGTATGAGAAAAAGAGAGACTTGTATGAAAAAATTAAAGAAACAAAAAGAGGAAGAAAATGACATATAGTGATCCCCCGCGACAGGTGCGCGCGGAGGGAGGGGCGGAGGGTTTATCATATAATTATTCACTAGTTACTTGTATCTATTATTTTAGTTTTGAGTAATAATTATTTATTTACTCATTTAGTGTAATAAATTATATTTAATTATTTTTATAATTACTGTGTTATTAGTAATAATTATTTATTTATTGTTCTATATATTATGCATGAATTGTTTAAATTTATTTATATCAATTACTTCCTTAAAGAAATAATTAGTAATTATTTCACGCGCATGCATTAATATATTTTTGTAGTAGCAATAGTTACTTAAATCATGTATTGACTCTTTAAATTTATCTTAATTACTCAATTAATATTTATTTTTCCTTGTAATTATTTGACATGTGTGTGTATTCACTATTGTTAATATTTAGCTTAATGATAGTTGTTTAATTGCTGTGCTTGTGCTTGTGCTTATGTTTCTTTTAGTATTATGATTATTAGATTAAAATTACTATAGGGCGGGTGTGTGTGTATTCCCAAGGGAGTTCTTTTTGTGGAAGAAGATTCGGGATAAATTCAATGGAATTTCTAATTAGAAAGAAGATTTGAGTAAAAGAAATTATTTCGTCGATTCACTTTAAGGGACGCCCTAGTATATTTTTTTATGATAATATATTTTTGATTTAAAAATATTTATTTTTATTTATTTGACAATTGTTTTAGTATTGTTAGCTAATTTAATTAACTATTTATGATATACTTTTTAAAAATATAAAAGTTTTATGCACTTAAGACAACTGGACTATTATTAGTTCTTAAGTAAAGATCTTACTGAAAATTAAGATTCTCATTTGATTACCTTTGTAATGTGTATAGATGTCAACAAAGAGGTTTGCCATGGAGATAAATTAAATAGCAATCATAGTACTAGATTATGGACCAGCCCAAGTGATAGTAGACACTTGCATCAACTCTGAGACCATATGGGTCCCCCGCTTCCACCTATTATAGACCAAATAATTCTACCCTCACCCTCCCATTTATCACATCTTTTACTTTTCCCACCACTATTAGTACCTTCTCTAACATTGATTGTAGCCACCCCTTCACTTGTTATGCCGTCGCCTTCACTGCTCTTTATACCACCACCTCTATGATTTATGCAACTACCACTCTTTATGCAGCCGCCACCTCTATTTATTTATCTATTACCATCGCCTTTTTATATGCAGCCTGCCTCAATATAGATGATGCCTCCGAACTTGCCTAATGGACATAATTAGATATTTTAGAAATGTATATGCGCAATATTTTTTTTTTGGTATATTATATTAAGGAATACTCTAGTATATTTTTTGGGTGTAATTACAAAATTTTCTTCTCCCACACTTGTTAGAAATGCCTAAAAAACTATAAGTTAACCCAATATAACTTGATTATATGTAAATAAATATATACATATACTTATATAATCTTATCTTAATGTGTGTAGGAATAGTTAATAACTTAATTTATAGTACACTGTGATCAGAGTCTTTTTTTTTTTTTTGTTTTTTTTTGTTTAATATGCAAAACTACACTAGTACACTGTGATCTCCCTGCCTGCTCCAAAGGCCATATTCACCGATGCGAGACGGTTGTCTCTCCATAAAAGTCACTTCGGTTGGCATCATAACATGGATTACGGATGTACCGTGTCATATAAGGATTTATCATCGATTATTTTTCACAAAAGATTAAAAGAAAGTGAGGGTTGTTTGGACGTTGACCATTATTCTAATTTTAACACTTAATTTTATTGACGAAAAATATTGATTCTAAATTTTTTTAAATATTAATAAAGCATGCTTAAATACTGATTCTTTAATTCAATCATTTTTATATTTTCGAGTGAAAATGATCCTACTAATTAAAAACGCATCTCAAAAAATGAAAAATAAAAAGCCTAACGAAATTATTGGTTTTTTTTTTAAGAAAATTCAATATTTATAAGATATGATGATATATCACATGAATGTGATCGACTTTTTGTAAGGATAAATTTGATCATGCTTCTGTGTTTAATTATCTCAATGAAACCTTCGAATTTTTTAAAATCTTTTCCAAAAAAATTTTAAACAGATCATAATGATTTTCATAGGCTTATTTTATTCTATCAATGTTTAAGCTGTGATTTTATGAAGCTGCTTTAATTTTAGAATATAAAAATAATAAATTAAATAATCAGTGTATAAGAGCTCTTGGTTAGTATTTAAAAGTGTAGAGTCAGCACTTTTTGTCAATGAGATTGACAATGTTGGAATTAAATGATTGAAATAACATTTTATAAAATTTAAGCATCAAAATAAAATCTCATATAAAATTATAGGAGCAAAAATATACCATTTCACATATATGAATAATCAACTAAATTTGTCATGTTATCATCATTAATCTCTCATGTAATTTATAAATTGCAGAAATTAATATTCGACTAAATTTAAATTTAAATGTATCAAAATTAATTTTATATTTATTTTGATTGGTATCATAATTAATCTACATGAATAATCTTAAAGTGAAAGTTGGTCAATTGAAGGGATTTGATAATTCCAAAAATTTAGCGAGCCATTGCATTCTATTAGGTCTCGTTTGGTTTATTGGAAGCATTTTAAAGAATTAAAATTAGAAATAGAATCAAAAATGAAAATAGAATTGGAACTAGAAATAATTTTAAAATGTAACTTTGGTGTGATAGAAAATTTGAATGGAGGTGAGCATGTAAAAACAACCAAAAATATTTAAAAGACAAGAACACCCTTTTTAAAAAAAAAAAAAAATCTCATCATCTCCATTGCAAAGCAAATCAGTAACATCATAATCATAACTAGAACAACATTTGACCACCCAAACATAGTGAAATGGAAGAAGTCACTATTTTTGCAATCCAAAACAAAACACACCATTCGAGCATGTAACCACCACCATAGGAAACAAAATAAAAGGAAGAGAGTTTTAAAGTATCGCCGAGAGGGGATAGAGCTTTAGATTTTGGTTTGTATGTTATAGGCAAAGGGGGTGGTAGAGTTAGGATTCACTCAGTCAAGCTTCTTAGATGGCAAAGATAGACAAAGAAGAAGAGATAAGAGATCTTTGATTTGATGGTAAAGGGCATGATAGATAGCAACCTGGATGCACAGTGGAAGGTGGGGTTGGCAAAGATGGTGGCTCGGTGGAGGGTGAAAGCCAATGACGATGGGGTGAAGGTGAAGGTTTGATTATCAACAAAGGATAAAGTGGGGAGTGAAAATACTTTCCAAGAAATTTTCTTATGGGGTAAATGAAAAACTGATTTTCCAAGCTAAGGCAAAAATTGTAGATTCTAAGAATTTAAATTTATTCCTATCAAATCAAGGAAAATAAGCTTTTGCACTATCTTTCCTCTTCCTTATCCTAAATTTATGTGGACCAAAGTGGCCCTTAAAGCCTGTTTGGTTCACATGAATTTGAGATAAGGAAAAGGAAAGAGAGTAGAAAAGGTTATTTTTTTAAGTTTGGTTAAAATGAGTTTTAATTCTTGAGAATTAATTTTCAAGAGAGAGAGAGGAATTTAGATTCAAGAGCCAACATCATGGAAAATCTTTTTTTCTTTGGGAAATAGTTTTTGTTCCCACTTTGTCCAAACAAAGATAATATAAACCTAGAACTACCCTTCTTCCTTTAACCCTTCTCCGATCTCCATATTCCTTCTACTTCTTCTCTGGCTGTAGCAACCGACCTTCACCCTCCACCGCCATCTTTGTTGATCTATGCTCTCCACCACTATGGGAGGCACTATGGGAGGCAATTGAAGATGACTGAGATTATCATCAAGCCCATCTTTGAGGGCGAGAACATATACGACAATTAAGTGACTGAAGACGATGGCTTGTTGCATTTAGGGAGAGTGATGATCTCATGCTCCATTTTTCTAGCTTTGAGAAGTCTCATATTGAAGTTTAGATTGTCAAGCCTTCAATGAGTTTGTGGAATATGAGATGGAAGGCAATTGGAGATAAGGGTTTTTATCCAATCTCTCTTCATATGCCTACCATCTCTACTGTGTCTAAACACGTCTCTTATTCTTTGACTTATTAATCACCGCTCCTCTTCGAATCTTGAATTGGTAATTGAAGTGAGAACATCAGCAACCACCTCCATTAAGACCTTACCCTCAGCGCCTTTGATATTTTTGAATTTTGAAGCTTTTAGGTTTGATGGATCTGTGTTTGAACAATATGCATGATTTGGATTTTTGGAAACACAATTTTAATTCAAAATTAATGCATTATTTGTTGATTCTTGTTACATATTTTACATTGTTGATTGATTATGAGTCACATGATTCATTCTTGATTCTGGGTTGAGTGGTCGCCCGATGAAAAGGAGGGATTGAGTGGAAATGGTGTTGAAGTGAGTAGGGATAATATTGTCTTTTAAACTTTAAAATTAATTTAAATAACATGATTGACAAAAAAAAATTCTATCCATTTTTTCTATCATATCAAACATACTTTTAAATCTATTTCCATTTTCATTTTTGATTTCATTTCCTTTTATTTTTCTAATTTTATTTCCATCAAAATACTTCTGATGAACCAAACAAGACCTTAAAGTTAATGGAAATCCGTGGCTTTTCAGAGAACCCGTAATTAACAAGTTTCTTTCTGAAAGAAACAAGAGATTGATGTGGAAGGGAGACACCGAAACATTAAAAAGACAAGGTGGTGGTGCCAGTTAATGTAAAATGATCAAATCACAGAGACTCGAGGAGAGAGATGGAGTACGAGAATTAGTGAAATATTCCATTCCACTAATAATAATTAGTGGATAATTATTAAAAATTATCCACAGAGGCTTTCTATTGCTTGCTTCCAGCTCAGTCCATCAATTCCTTATCACATTTCCACGGATATATACTCTCTTTGAATTCCACGTGCAATGGCCAGTAAGGAACACGCGTCTCCATTCATTGGATGATTGGAATGACGATAATATATTAATAATTTTTAACTATTGATATCAGCCAATAATTATTGCCGAGACAATATTTATCAAATGAGTGGATTCAAGTTAATCAAATCCGGATTGATTGTCATGTTCGCGGGACATTGATCACTGCAAATAGTCTGACGGTTGCACACTGTGCCTCCGTGGTACACATCTCTTGCAGAAGACTATGCTTTCACTTTTCTTTTCTTTTCTTTTTTTGATTTTTTGGGTAGGAAAAACCAACAAATTAATTTATGGGACAATTATTTATTACTGTTTAATTAAAATATCAATTGATTGGGTAAACTAAATTTAAATTCGTCAAAATTGTTTTTCCTCGCAAAATAATTTCCCAGACTAATTATTAATCCGTATGAATCCTCAGTGAAAACATTTTCTATCTAAGCGAATTGCTATATATTTCCATCTCTTCATTTCTTCGGGGGTTATGCCGAAAATCTCTCACAGATCAGAGTGGCCATTGATTCTATCAAGGACTTGGAAATTCTTAGCAGTATTTTCGATGTAAATACGATGCCATGGGAAAAAAAAAAAAAGTGAAAAGAGGAAAGGAGGAGAAACTTGTGTGAAATTCGGAAAGGATAGCGACCCCGCGGCATTAATCACATAAAAGTATATGAAGAAAACATAGAATAAGTAAATTTTTTATTTTATTTTTTAAAAATACTTGACAGTTTATCAAATATTGTATATTGCATAATTAGTTCACTTTTCTACTTACTAGATGTTGTTGTATGATTGGTAACAGTAGGAAGGCACAAGAGCAGGAGGAGAAGGGCCAGAGTTGCAGACTTGAGGACAGTGGAGGAGGGAATCCCATGTTCTCTCTTTCCAAACAATCCTTTCAGAAATGGCCAATAACACACTACCAAGTACGCACAACAAAACAACTCCCCATTTCCACTCCCATTCTTCTGCGTTCCCAACATCCTCCATAATTTGATAATAGGAGCTGTGAGTTGAACCACCAAGATGGTGGTTCCCACCACGAACACCGGAGACCCGTCGAAGCTGAACGGAGCCACATTATCGGAATGGCAACCAGTACTACTCGGGGGTTCCTTTTGTGTTATCTCAAAGCCCAGAAACCAGGCCGTCATCGTCTTTATTCTTCCCATTCTTTGGTTGTTCCACCATGTTCGAACCGATTGTCCCATTGCCCTGTACTCTATCAGAGTGTATACGTTGTAAATCACGAACAGGGAAACTAGAATCCATGCCCAAGGCTCCTGAAAAAGCCATTGCACGTAAGTCATTTAAAAAAAAAAAAAAGCCACGAAATGCTTTGGCGAGACTAAAACATTTCAGTGCAGGAAGCTTACCTCTGGTAAGAAAGTGGAGTTGGTTATGAGGCAATATGGAGGTAAAAGAGCGTAACATAGTTCAGGTACAGAGCGTAGGGCCCAATTGGTGATCCACATGTAGGCCAACATCTCCCTGAATTGGATCTTGCCGAAGAGGAAGCCCAAAACTGGACTTTGGGGGCCCAACAAGACAACAAGCAAGCCCGAACCCCATCTCTTCTGCTGCGTCATTGTGGATATGAAATCTCCGGGAGCGAGGCAATGGGCTCAGGTGTGCGGCACTCTGACCTCCATCCTCTTCTATGGATGCTCAGCCCTGTTAGGACATCCTCTGACAATGATCCATACAACCACCCCACCTGAATTCTCCAAAGCAAACAACAATGTTCAAATTTCAAGAAAAGAAAAGAACTAATTAAAATTGATTTGAGTAGTAGAAGCTCTCATTACTCAATTAGTAGGGTTTTAAACCCAACTCCTATATATGTAATAATTTAATTGAGAGAAGTTTATCCATTAATCTTAGTACTTAAAGGGAGATATTATTTGCTATTGGTTGAACTTGCTCCTTATACTCACAAACAAATTTCTAAGAAAATAGGTCTTATGTGTTCACATTTTTCAATAAAATCAGAATATCAAAATAAGTTCCTCACACAAAGAAAAATTATATAATTTTATATAAAATATAAAAAGGCCAGGGAGCTGCGTTATTCATACCTGGACAAATGTACAGAGCTCCCTCTCTAACCTATCATGTCTAGTTGGTGTTACTTATTCCGTTTCATCGTGCTCAGGTTCAGCAAATGGCTTGGTTGGTAATAGCTAAAGTGTGAAGGTTATTGAGTGTTAAAAATCATCACAAATTTTTAAGCCCAAATTAATGAATAAAATAAATAAATTAGAAAAAGAAAATAAATTATTTGGAGTAGCCTTCCAACCAAGATCGATAGTTACTATTCATGGGTGATTGTTAGCCATAGATTTGCAGCTTGAAGAACGAGACAGAGAATCTTCTAAGCAAGAAAGGTGGCTTGTTAGCTCATTTTCATCTATAAATACTGCACTTGGCTAATCATTATGTGCATCAAGTGATGGGTGAGAAAATGAAAAACAGAGAAGGGTGTTGTGGGAGTGTGGGTAGTGAGCAGAGAGTGGAAGAGAGGAAAGAAAAAGAAAGGAGTAGCCTGTGAGAGAAAGAAGGGAAAAAGCCTATAGTTTAATGTATCTTGTTTAAGTTTGCAATAACATTTTTTCCTTCGTTTATGTTCTTTTTTCTCATTCTCTTGAAATATCTTAAGCCTTTTCAGTTGATAGACACTGCATTGAGGGCAACAATTTATTGAGGCATATTATATTAACTGCTTTAATTAATTTGGTGCCAACCTGTTTGCCCCAAGCAGTGCCATATTCATACCCACAACGGGCAACATGGCCTGCAGCCTCTAGTAATTTGGAAGGAGAAACAATATTCGGAGTAGAATATGTCTTCCCTTCCAAAGCTTGTACTGCCGAGTTGGCAAACTCCTTTGAACTTCCGAATTTTTGCTCTAATTCCTTCTCTGAAAATTTTTCTGCAAAATATACAAAAATGATTAAGAGTTTAGATCATGAAGAGACAAGAAACTTGTTCTATGTCCACGACCTTGATAGCCAGTTTCCATGTCTTCAGGAGAAAGGCCGTAAATAACTCCTCTTCTGTGGAAGCAGTTTGTTCCACCATAATAAGGCCCTTGAAGCCCTGCACATCCGACTACTATGTACTGCACTTCCACAAAACATGAAAGCAATTATGAGCTCCTCTGTTCTCACACTTGCTAATTTCAATTGGCGATAATGCATGCCTCTAAAAAGACAAGCTGAAGGGGATTTTTCTTTAGCGGAAAAGGTGTTGTTGAATTTAAAAGCACCTCATAAGCAGCAACCCACTGGTTTCCGAAAGGATCATCTTTTAAGCCATCATAAAATTGCTGAAAACATTGAACAAATGCCACTTCTTTGTGGCCCTTGGGGTCCAGGAATATGCACATTGCATGCTTAACCGTCTTCGAATTGTTCACCATCATGTCACAGTCTACGTTCAGCATGTAGGCAGCGTTGCTCAGCAACCCTGACACTCTAGTCTGCACATAACAATAACAGTCAGGAGAATTTAATTAATAGAGCATTTTTCGCAGAGAATTCTAGTTCTGATATGATTTATTATTTTCTAACTTGGAATTCGTGACAGAACAAAATTGGCAAGGAACTAGAGTAGAAGATGGTGTTACCAAAACATTCATGGCACCGGCTTTGTAATGATGTGAATGCTCTGGTTTTTTCTCTCTTGAGATGTAGACTAAGTTGGGCAACCCACCAGATTGGCCTTCTTTATTTTCCGATATAACCTACAACTCATGAAAAACATGTTTTCGAGGTGAACAGGCTATAAGACATCCATGAGCTTCACAGTGAAATGATATAGGTTTAGATACCTTAATTATGGCTCCATGATTTCTCCGTTCTGTGTTTGAGAAAACTACATATTCTCCCTCAAGCTTGCATTGGTGTGGTTTCCTGCTCGCATCTTCAATTTTTTGCCTAAATTTTTCATACTCTTCCTGAAAAACCCAACAAGCGAAACCATTAATTTCCTCTTATATGTATACAAATATGCATGTATATCATTGACCTAAGATTAACTGCTGAAAGAAAATAAAAGGAATGTAATTGAAATATCGTACGTTAGAACTTTACCTTCATTCGTAGACAATCTTGTGAAAATTCGGGGGAGGGTTGGCTATTGGCACCAGTGAGCTCATCAGAAAAGAAGCGAAGAGGAGCTCTGAGTTGGACGTTGTATTTCTTACAGAAAGGCACCCAAAGCTTAGCAAATTGACTGGCTTCAACTAGGGCATAGAAAGTAACAGAGGAACACCCATCATCGGAAACATAACAAGCTAGCTTGTGAGGCGGGTAATCCAGTGCTAACAGAGACAACACAGTGTTCGCCGTGATGATGGGTGGTTCAAGCACGGGGTCCGCCGTTGTCACCAACAGGTCCACCGCCGGAAGCTCTGGTACCCTGTTCTCCAAAAACATTGACGCATCATAAAACAACAATGCTTATTTATGCAACGTGCAATAAGGTGCAAGTACAGTAATATACCGTCGAGGGAGAGAATGGAGGTGGGTGATGACGCGTGCAGGAGTCCATTTGGTGCTGAGAATAACAAACCAAGTGTAGGTGAACCATGATTCGCATAGGAAGGCAAAAAAGCAAGGGAAAGTGAAGCGATTGGTGAGGGAGATGACCCTGTAGCTAAGAAGCAATAGAAGGAGTAAGATGAAGCTATCCATCACTTTCTGAAACGTTCGTTTCAGACTGATCTTTTCATACAGTCGGCCCTCCATTGAATATTCTAATGTTTTGCACCGTTCTACTATTCGATCGGCGCAGGCAATGGTGCAAGTACTTGTTATTATATATTGCAGACGAGACGGTGTCTTCTGATTAACAAGATAGACATTGAATCCCAGGTTGAGTGGTCCACCCGTCTATGTTATCCATAGGTTAAATGAATTCTAGAAACTTAGATTTTGTTCTCTTGAATTAACATATAATTACGTTGATAAAAAAAATTAACATATAATTACGGCTTTATTTAGAGAAAGGCTAAAAAAGCAGCGCATGTGTGTTTTCAAGAGGATACCTTATCTTTGGAAAGAGACGGAGACAGGGAGAGAGTTCGTTGTTAGTGTAAGTCGTGGAGTTTCGTACTCAACTGGTGCTTATCACTTTGATGTTTTAGATTTAAAATATTATTTTAAAAAAATTAATATTTTAATCCTTCAACTTTTATCTGTAACTCAATCCTTCAATTATGACTCGCTGCGACTCAGTCCTTTAATTATAACTTGCTGCAACTCAGTCTTTCAATTTTTAATTTACCTATAACTCGGTTCTTATTTTTTAATTTTTTTAAATTTTTTTATTAAATAAGAGGGGTAAAAAAATGCTCATATATCATTTTAAAATACTCTCTTCTTATTCATTAATGTGAGATAGAAGTTAACATGAAAAAAAAATTAACAAAAGTTAAGGGACTAATTTGTAAGTGATTCAAAAGTTGAGGGACTGAGTCATAAGTGATTTATAGTTGAGGGACTGAATCACAGCGAGTCATAGTTGAGGGACTGAGTTATAAGTGACTTAAAAATTATAGGACTAAAAGATTAATTTTGCCTATTATTTTATATTTATTAATATAAAAATTTATAAAATCATCAATTTGGTCTTGGTTTAATTTAAAAGTCCAATTTAATATTAAATTTTTTATAATTATTATAAAACCATATATTAAATTTAACCATTTAATTAAAATTGAAGTAGTCCAGATTTTATTACACGGAGAAACACGATAGTACTTATCAGTGTGAGGAGCAAGTCCAACCAGTTTCTTGTTTGGCTCATCAATGTCTTGGAGCTGCAATAGCCCATGAAAGTTGCGGACCAGAGAAAATGGCACCACAGTGTAGAATCACCTTGAGATTCTGTGACACGTGCGATGGACATTCATATGGATTCTTGTGATACAAGGGTAAGGGTGAGCATTGATTCAGTTTACTCAATTTGGTTCCAATTGTTTTAAAACTAATCAACCGCGTCACATAAAAAGTTTGATTGAATCGAATCAAAATGTTTAATTAAATTAAATTAAAATTAAACTAAATTATATTGGTTTGATTCGATCAATCTATTTAATTTATATGTTTTAATTTGGATTTATGAAATTTAATTGTATACATATTTTTTATACATTTTTTTTATATTGAAAGCCCAACAAAAAAATAATATTTTTATACTATAATTCATGAAAAAATTAATAAAGCCTAATACTATTACATTAAAAATTAAATTATAGAAATAAAAAATAGAACATTATATTAAACAAAAATAATAATAATACCATTGTAAGAGGTAGAAAGATATTTTCTATTTATTTAAATGAAAATTTATTCACTTTTTAAAAATATAAAAAGAAAAATATATATAATTCCATCGATTTAATTTATTTAATTCAATAATTATCAAACTGATTAATTAAAATTTTTATTAAAAAAATCAAATCAAATCATATAATTAAATAAACTAAATTAAATAAATCAAACTTAATTTGATTTGATTCAATCTTTGAATTTTCAAGACGATACCTTGGCTTTTGAAAGAGACAGAGATAGCAAGGAGAGCTGTTGTTTGCGTATATGGTTGGGTTTCTTGTGGGGTTCATGAAGTTTGTTGGCTGTCTCTGCTGCACATTTTCCACAGACCACAGCCTTCAATTCAGCATCTGAATAATTGAAGGCGTCCTGATATATCTCCAGGTTGCAATGGCCCATGAAGGATGGACCCACAGAAACATGGTATCATAATGGAACGGATAATTTAGGTTGAATTTGACAAATTAACCGGAACTTACTTAAAAAATTTAAAATCAAATTTTTTAAAAAATTATTTTTTAATATTCAGATCTACTCAAACTAGCTCGAATAGATATGAAAAAATTTGAGCCAAGCCTAAAAACAATAGAGTTTTTTATAAATATATAAAATATAATAAATATTAATTTATTTTTTAAGTTTTATATTATTTTATACTAAAATATTATATATTTGAGTGTATTTCTATAATTATTTTTAAAAAAATTAAAAATATTTATATTTTCATATTTTTTATTTTTAATTAATAAAATATCTCAAAATAACATTTGAAGTATATTTTATCATTTATTTTTATATTTCAAGATCCAATTTTCTTAAAAAAAGATTTTTGAGCCCTATACATTATTTATGTGTCCAAAAGATATATTTTATATTTTTTATAAAATAAGATAATTAAGTTTAAGGTAAAAATAAAATAAAAAATAATTTAAAAATAAAATTTGGGCATGTGTGCATTCTCGACTTTACTACAAGATAAACATAATAAATAAAATAATATTCTTGAATAATTATTTAGTTATTATCTATGCCATATTTGGTTAAAAATTGAGAGTAAATTAGAGTAAAAACTCTTGTATATAAAGGTTAAACAATATAAAAAGTTAATGAAAAATAATTATAAAAAATAATATTTTACTCATTATTAAATGATTTTATTTTATATAATACAATGATGGTTATTTTCTCATATTCTTAAAAACAAAAAATACAATTTACTTAAAAATTATTAAAAACTTTGAACTAATTAGAAAAAATGATTTAAAGTTAGTAGTATACCCATGATTGAATTGAAATTAACTTGATCATAATTAAAATAATATAATTTAATTAAAATATATAAAATATTTATATATGATCATGATAAGAGTAATATTTAAATAACTAAAATATTAATTTACAAGTGAAGGAAATATTTATGAATAAATTATACATAATACAACAAAACAGTAATAGAGCTATTTAAGTATAAAGTTGATAAGTTATTATTTTTAATTGTATTCTTTTAAAGTTAAAATAATATTTTATACTTAATAGAATTATTTAAAAATTAAATTTGGTTCAAAAATAAAAAAAATATTTTTAAAAATTTTTTGGTATTCGAGCCGCTTACACTAAGCCCAAATATATTAGGGTCGAACTTGATTATATGAGTTTTTTAGAAGGAATATGATACTTTAAATTCTATTCGAATTGAGCTCAATCTGAATAAGCTCAATCCGCTCAAACTTTTGACTCTGTATAATAGCATTGGTGCTTAATATTTGCTTGAGATTTCAAGCCTTTTTTATTTAATTTCATGTACTTGCGCTTTTTGCCTTTCCCTTTTACCTTAAAAAAAAAAATATTTTTGTCCTGCCCTCTCAATCATTTTATTACCCTTTCTCATGGGGGATCAACCCAGGAAGAATATTAAAGACCTAATGCAAAATTATTATAGAGGCTTAATGTGTTATAATTTATAAATGATATAATTTTTATTAAGATTAGGTTTTACATTCATTTTAATAGCGGTTTGTCAAAAAAAATCATTTCAACATTTTTTTTGAAATTTCAAAACATATGCAAAATAATTTTTTCTTATAACTTCCACATGAATGAGTAATAAGATTTTACTAATAGAAAAACAGAAAATATTATAACATATATTCTCAATATATCATACTACAATAAAGATTATTATATAATTAATTTATAAGAGGAAGATCAATAGGTTTTTTATATAAATAATTTTTTATAAGGCCTAAGGCAATTGCCTTAATGGCCTAAGGGCTTACATGGCCTTGAATTAACCGGCATCATCTTCTACACGAGCACAATTTTTTTATATCGATATAGTAACTATCTTACTTATATTAAGGGATTTTGTTTAAAAAAGGTTAATTTTTTTAAAACTTCAAAAATCATCATCACTGAAATTCATTAATTAAAAGAGATATTTAGTTGGTTGGGGAATATCACGGTGAAAAATATTTTAGAAAACAAAATCTTATATTGAAGATTATGAAAAAAATAAAGCACCACTGTAAAGGATGGAGTATTTTGTACTCTGTCTCAATTTAAAAGACACTTTTAAAAAAATTTTACATCTTAAAATATAAAAAATTTTAATACAACTAAGATTTTATTAATGATACTTTTTTAATATTATTCTTTTCATATATTCTCTTTATTTGTCAAAAAAAACAAATAAAATGTAAATGAAGAGTACTTTTAAATATGTATATTTTCATTTTCAAAAAATAAAATCATAAAATATATTTAATAAATTTTATTGTTATGTATAATTTTGTGTAAAAATATATTAATTCAATTTCGTCCAATATAACGTATCGATGTCAACGATAGCAAAGCTACTTGGTATCAAGATGGCACTGGAATTTTGCCGGTTCCATACACCCTATGGCCTATACAATTTTGGGAGCTTTTCTCTAACTGTGCTACAACAATAAATTTGATTATTAGGGATCGGACCTCCAGTCATCCTTAGGAAGTCATTAATTAGACAAGGAATTTACTTTACATAAATTGTAATGCATCGCTCGGCCATAGAGAAGCAAATATTGTTGCTAATTGTCAACCTGTGTATGTCATTGATGAAAAACCTCATTTCTTATCAGGGTTGTAGTTAACCAAAGATTTGCTGCTGTTGTGTTTTCTGGTTTAGTTTTTATCCGTTTCACGTTCCAAAGTGTATCAACATTCTCGTCATGGTTTTGCAAAGAATAAATAAGTAACTACTAAATACACTTTCAGATATTTAATTAATCTACAGCTGACTTAATTTGTGTGGCCGGAAAACAAGGTTTAGACCCCAAACTCAAAGAAACGGTTGAAAGAGACACGGACACATGACTGCAAGAACAAAGCATATTAAAAGAAAATTCAAGACTAAAAGCATCATGATTCATGAACCCTTAATGGCACTTCTACAAAGGTGCACGAAAAGGAAGGCCAGTCC